CTAATTAACAATTAGTGTGTAACCTGTCGAAATTATGACGATATTTTTCTGAAAGGATTTAGGCAAGCATCCTTAGTCACACCTATTTATAGTTATACCTCTTTATAGTCATCTTATTTTACTTTTTCATTTACATATAAATATAGTAAAAAATCTCTTTATAATTATATCCTCTTTATAGTCACCAAATTTTGTTTTCCTGAGGGTAATAACTATAAAGAAGTTTGACTATAATATATTTATTTTAATTTTGAACAAAAAATTGATCTGATAACTTTAAAGTATGATATCTCATGATTCACTAATTCAATTTAAACAAAAATATCACCATTTGATTCATCAAGATTAGACAAATCAAATAGTAATATTTTTATCTGAATTAAATTAGTGAATTATAAGATATTATATTTCAAAGTTACCAGATTTTCAATTAAATTTTTATCAGACTTTAATTTGGAAATTTGTTAATAAAACTTGTAATTTTCTGGAACTAAAAAACTGGATTTTTTTCTGATTATTTTTTTTATTTTTTTTACAGGATTATCAAATTTTGCTTTTTTAAAAGTGATAACTATAGAGAGATTTGACTATATATTTAAAGAATTAAGAATATTATGTCAAACAATATCATATTTTTTAGCAATTAATTGATATTGAAAATATTTCCTGATAATTTACTCAAGATATTATTTTCATACATTCTAAACAACTTGAAAAACTTTGATATTATAAATGACTAATTTTAATAGACTCTATATATAAAATTTACAAGTATAACTAATATTTTTTTATTTTGTATATTCATAATAAATATAAATATTGAAATATTAATATACATTTTTTTTGAATAATGAGAATAATAAAACTATAATCAAAATATTACAAATTATCTGAATGGTATTAAATAAGTTTTTTCTGATTTTTGTAATAGTGAGCAAAAATGTGAAATAATTGTTTGTATAATTTATATATTATATAAATATAAATATCAAAAATTTATAACAAAAAATTCTGTAAAGTTATAGCTTTAGTAATGTATAAAGAAACAAAAATTAATTATAAATAATATTTGTTCAGTTCTCATTATTAATATATATATAAATATTATATTGTTATTATTTTAATGGGACTTTAAAATACTCAAGAGTATTTATGATATTCAAAAGGAAAACTTGAATGTCTTAATAACAATTCACAATCTTAATAATACTTTATGACTTTAAACTGAATATAAATTAAAGTATGATAAGTACTTATAAGAATTACTTAAAAGTTGGTAACAATTGTATTTTTTTAATGCAATAACTGGACTGCTAAAAAGAGTTTTCAAAATCTCAATGTCAAATATAATATATATATTAAAAATTTTTAAAGTCAAAATATAAGATATAATATTTGTATTATTAGCAATATAAGATTGAAGATAAGTGTATGAACAATGTATTATTAACAATACAAAGTCAAAGGTAAGTTTATGAGTAATGTATTATTAGCAATACAATCTCAAAGATAGATTTATGAATTATAATAATAATTCCTTTATTTAATATAATATTCAACAGACTTCATCACAATGTGTTTTAGAAAGTCTAGGATAAAGATAATAACTTTTATAATGCTTCTAATAATTTTGCTTAAGCTACTATAATATATATTGATTTAAGATTTGTATAATTTCTTATAAAACTATTATACAAGAAAATGAATACTTTGTTAAAAGGGTATAGAGAAGAGTTTGCACTTGACTACCTACTCTACATAAAATGCAACTACATTTCTTTAAATAATTAAAACTATATGATAACTAATTAGATGTAATAATTGAAAATTACTATTTAAAAGGACTTGTTCATATCTAATTCTAATACAGTCAAACCTCTCTATAGTTATCACTCTTAGGAAAGCAAAATTTGGTGACTATAGAGAAAATGTGACTATAAATGAATGTAATTATAGAGAGATTTAACTGTAACTATGATACATGTTGCTTTTATACAAATCCAAAATATAATTTATCAGCTATATGAATTTATATTCACTATATCACTTAAATTCTATTGATTTCAGCATTCGTTCATTCATTTAGTTATTTATTTGTTCATTCACTTGTTCACTTATTTGCTTACTTGTTCGTTCACTTCATGTAATTTGATCTTTATCCAATAAGATATGAAATATATATAATCCAATAATATGAAATATTATGACAAAAAGTTATTATATAACAATATAAAAAATATCTATCAATAAGCTCTTTGAGCTCATCAATACTTTTCTTTTCTTTTTGTATTATTTTGATTTTTTTTTGCTTTTTTGTTTTTATATTATTGTATAATGAATTTTGATTGAATATTTTACTGAATTATTTATACTTAATATTATTGGATTATAAATATTTTATATCTTATTGGAAGAATTTAGTTACATGAAACAAGTAAATAAACAAGCAAGCAAATAAACAAATAAGTAAATAAACAAGTAAATGAATAAGCAAATATTGAATCAATAGAATTAAAGTGAATTAGTGAATATAAATTTATATAGCTAATAAATTATAGTTTGAACATGCATAAAAGCAATATGTATCATAGCTATTAGAATTAGTTCTTTAATAGTAATATTTTTAATTATCATCTTATAGCTAGTTATTACGTAGTTTTAATCATTTATATAAGTAAAATTTGTACTTATTATAGAGTAGATAGTCAAGTATAAACTTTTCTCTATATATTCTTTGATAAAATATTCTTGTTTTTTGTATAATTGCTTTAGTATTATTATCATACAAATCTTGAATCAATATTATAATAGCTTAAGCAAGATTGTCAGAAATACTATAAAAGCTATCATTTTAATACTAGATTATCTGAATATATTTGTAGCAAAACCTAATAAATATTATATAAATAAAGAAATTATTATTATAATTTATAAATCTATCTTTGAAATTGTATTGCTAATAATATATTGCTTATAAATTCATCTTTAATTTTATATTGCTAATAATACATTATTTACTTTTGATCTCATATTGCTAATAATACAAATATTATAATTTTTATAACTTTGACTCTGATATTTTTTAATAATTTAGATTATTATATTTAAAAGAATACAATTATTACCAATCTTTAAATGATTTTGTTTCTAGTATTTTTAGTACTTATTCACATTCAGTCTAATAGTTATAAAGTATTATTAATATTACTAAAGATATTGAAAGTTCTCTTTGAATATTTCTTTAATATTTATAAATATCTTTGAGTATTTCAAAAGTCAATCAAAACAATAATAACATTATTATTTTTTTTTATTTTTATTTTTTTTGTTTATTTGCATTTTCTTTTATTTAATCATTCTTTTTTTTTGCTTCTTAATCACATTATTTTATTTGTTAATTTGTTCTTCTTATATTATCTTTTTTCTTTTCATATTTCTTTTTTTACAAATTTTTTTGTTTTTTTTGCTTTGTTCTCTACTTGTATTACTTTTTTTCTCATTTTATTTCTTGCTTCATTTATCATTATAAATATTTTTTCATTTTGTTCTATTATTTTATTTCTTTTTATTAGATATTTCTTACAAAATCATTATACTTGATTACAAGAAATAAGCTGATTCTAAAATTGTTATTTTTGATTTTTGTATAAAGAAAATATTTGTTTATAACATAAAAGATAAAATTTATATAAATTTCCCTTCCTAATACAACAAATACTTATTTGTTTTGCAATCAATATATATTATCATGCAAACATATATTTTATGAACATATATATAATAATTTTAGATTATTGATTGCTATAGTTTGAAGAACATTTCAAGAAAGTAATTTTGAAATATATAAAGAATAGGAATTTATAATTAAATTTTCTGAAAAACAAGTAGAAAATCAATGATTTATTATAAACGAATTAACAGAAAAAGTACATAATAAATATTTTAAAATTGAAAAAAGAAATGCTAAGAAAGCAAAATTATTTATTGAGAAACTAGAGACTTCTTTAATTTTAATTATTAATGATTTTGATCAAATTTAATAATAAATTTTTATGTTTTACTTAAAAATCACAATTTGAAATCACATGTTAATATAATAAATCATGTGCTTATCACATCGATCATATTATATAAATCACGTGAAAATTACAATGCTTTAATCAAATTTCAAAAAAGCAATCTTAACAAGAATAATTAGTTATTTCAAAAAATTTAGTCAGGTAACATGTATTGAAAGTATTACATTACTCATAACTCATGTCATGCTCGACATAAGTAAACCTATGTTCGAGCATGACAAATCGATCACTTCGGTTTAACAGGGGTTGAACTATGAAGATATCTTGAATAAACTGTCCAATTAAAAATTACTATATATAGAGATATTTGTCATCAGGTTAACATCGGTTAACCTGTTTGGATCACTATGATCTACATTTTATTTGACTTTAACAAACAATAGCAACACGTGCTATAAAACAACCCTTTGTATTAACGATCGTGTGAACATCACTAATTCACATGCTTTCCTTTACAAGAAAGGGCGCAATGATGGTATTATGATCTCACATTTGGACAATTAGAACGAGGTTTTTAATTCACTAGGGCGTGTTGCGTGATTTTGCATGTGAAAATGTAGCTTTTTCCTAGTATATGTATGTTGTGTTCATATAAGAACGAAAAAAATTAGCATACGTTCGTTCTCTTTCCATCCGAGACAATAACGAAGAATTTTATAATACTAACAAAACAACGATAATATAGTAAAAAGAGTTATCGAATAATAGTCTTGTCCTTATTAAAAGATGGTCTTTAAAAATCTTGATGAAATTTTGCCCGGTGAGTATTATATTTTGTTAATTTGCGAAATAGATATTGATAGAACGTCTATTTTAAAGTATATAATATAAAAGAGAGGAAAGAAAGCATTTATGAGCGACAATAATTATTATTTATTTATATTGTCGCGTATGGATCCGGATCATTACACATTAAAGACATCATTCACGACCTTCTTTCGTACGACGAATTGAAGCACAAAAAAGTTCTCGACGAATATTTCGTTGAGAATGCCAAGCTCACACATCCGCTGTTGACGATCGAAGGCACGTATAATATAAGAAAGGTGTTTCGTGTGTGGACTTCGTTAAACGCTGAAGAGCCGACGATAGGGGAAACTTATGTTATAGAGTGAGTCTTGTTTTTATAACAAATAAAAAACCAATATTCCTGAATCATTTGAATTAGTCCTCAGTTGTTCGTTTCTAACCCTTTTGATGGACTTTGTAGTGGCCAAACAGCTGTCGTACACACAGTCCAACACTTTCGACCTCGCATCATGCCTTTCATACACCTACAAGTTCCCGCGATCACCACCCTAAAATTCCGACAAACCAACGACGACCGAATAGTCGAAATCTACCACCAAGAAGACACGTGGACCCTCGAAGGCTTAATTCAAAGCGTGCCAATTGTTCACTGGTGGTACGAGAACATCGTGCGCGTGGTAATGGGAAAACTATTTAGTGGCGTCGGATCGTTCATCTATACAGCGAATAAAGCGTCCTCGCGTTTGAATTCGAATGTGGGCGAAATTAGGGTCATGTCGTCAGAGGTTATCGCTCCGTATCAGGAACGAGCGCAGAGGATTATCTCGCCGTATTCGGAACAAGCGACAAAGTTCGTTGAACCGTATTCGGCTACCGCACGAGATATTATTAACAAGGGCTCGAATAAAGTGCATGATTTGACTGTGAAGACGAAAGCTATGATTGAGAATGCGCAGGAGGAAGTTATTTCAAAGATTTCGCAAGTTAGAGGTTCACCGCCGCCACTTGCTACTCCTTCATCTCCTACTACTCTTACTTACCCAACTGTTAATGAATAATTGAAAGATTAATTTCAATCATCGTCTTCATCATCCTTAGCTAAGTTACGTTTCATCCTTCTAAATTTACCTTCCCGTATTTTTTTCCCAATTGATTCTTATTGTTCAACTACTATGTTATTTAGTAGCAGTATTTTTTAGCCTGCTTGTTTTTTTCTGATTTTTTGTCTTGGATCAACTGACATAGATTTTATTTTGTTATCCAGAATATATTTGAACATTTATATCAAAAAATTTTTGAACTTTCTTTATAGATAAACTGTAAATTATACTGCGTGATAATGATCTACTGAAAATCATGCGAATTAAATTCAGGATCTTACAGTGCAGGACGCCAATAAAAAAAGTCATCTTTAAAGTAAAGGATCTTTATACAAAGATCATACAGAAAAAAGGGGCCGCTGTTTTGTAGCTAGACCTATTTTTTACTACAAAATAGCAGCCTCCTTTCCTTTTTGTATGATCTTGCATAAAGATCCTTTGCTTTAAAGATGACTCATTTTATTGGCGTCTTTAAGTGTCCTGCACTTTAATTAGAATAATTTGCATACTTTTCGCAAAGCTGCCGTTATTTTTATTATTAATGATTATCATTAATTACACGGATACACAAAACTATACAAATAAAAAAGAAATATATTTATTTTAGCTTTTTAATTTTATCATAAACATTGTATCAAGATTCTTGTTCGGATGTTTTGAATACATAGGTAAGGCCGCACTATTTATGATGTGCATATAATGATCAAATAGTTAGCAAAGCCATCGAGATTCAAGTATTAGTTGACAGAGAAATTATAAAATACCTTTCCACAATATTGACGGTCATAATGCTGTGCCATAAAGATTCCAGCCCCACATGAGCTATTTGGACATTCTCTGCATAAATTTAATTTTAGAATCATCAACTAAAAAAATGAATTTGTAAAGCAAATATCAAAATTTAAACTTACTTTCGAAGACGAGTCATTTTACCATTCTCGTCGACCTTATAATATTTCAATACCGCCAATTTAACCTTCTTTCTCTTATGCTTAATCTTTTTCGGAGTGGTGTACGTCTTCTTCTTACGTTTTTTGGCACCACCACGTAAACGAAGTACCAAATGCAAGGTCGATTCTTTTTGTATGTTGTAATCGGAAAGAGTACGACCATCTTCAAGCTTTTATTATCATAAGATTATTATTCTTTTATGATTTATTGTTAGATAAGAGACAATAAAATTTACCTGTTTTCCGGCAAAGATCAATCTTTGCTGATCCGGAGGAATACCTAAAGAATATGATTTTTTTTATTTTTCGAGTGTGAATTAAACAATCCAATGCAAAATTTTTTCTTTGTCACAAAGTCACACACCTTCTTTATCTTGAATCTTGGTCTTTACATTTTCGATCGTATCGGAAGATTCCACCTCAAGGGTGATTGTCTTCCCAGTTAAAGTTTTTACAAAAATCTGCATTCTTTTTTTTTTCGAAAAAAAAAAGATTAATATATTTCGATATTCTTATTTCAACACTTTGCTAGTAAATTTGGTTGGTCGTTCAACAAAGGAACATCTAATTAATTATGTAATAAATTTACAAAGAATGCAAAATCTCAATTTCCACAGCAAATTCATACAAGTGAAATACTAAAAAAAAATAATTACCTAGCGGCGAAGGAAATTTTAGAATGGGACACTCCAATTTGTATTTTTGTAGACACAATTTTTTGAGCCAATAGATTTTCTACAAAACACGTGAATCTTTATTAACCATTTAACTACTAACGCTAATGCTAATGTAATTGATTCGTAATTAAATTATCAAAACAGAAGATAATTTTGAAAAATAGCCTTCATATAATCAAAGATGTAATTTTTGTTGTTCGCCTGTTCATGATTTTTGGTGGACTAAAATTTAGCTGCAATATTGACTAATTAGCAAGGCTGAACAAGATATGTCTCAGCGAAGGAAAAAAAAATGGTCATTCAGATCCTTGAGGATATTGCCGTTTTTCAGAGATATAGGGTTGCCTAATGGGTTTGTAATGTGGAATGCTATTCTCTTCACGCTATTAATATATATGTATATATCAACTTTTTTTCCTCAGAAGAAAGAATAAAGAACAAAAAAATGAAAACTCACATCAGCCTTGCGGTTCGCTTTCTTTTCCCAATCATGCTTATATTCGCCAGCATCCCACTTTCTTTTAGCATTTAATAACCTCTTAGACTGAGGTTCTTTTCTCAACGTAAAACATCATACCCCACTAAACCGCATTCAATATCATCCGGGAATGCTTTTGCCATGAATAAATTTCTTTGGTTTCAAACCAGTCGGACCAATTGGTCCCTGCCATGGCCTCGAAACCTGATACATATGTACGCCATAACCATATCCACTAGATCTGGCAGGTCTCGTCTTCCGACTTTTACGCGTACAGTCTGTAACAAAAAAAACCGTAATGAAAAAAATTATTATTGTATTATAAATAATACACGTAACAAGATAAAA